CATTGGGTTTTGTTAAAATAGATTGCAAATTTTCAATTAAAAAAAAAAAGAAGCTTTTGAAACTATATTTTGACTAATTTAATATATCATGTTAGTTGGTGATTTATTCAATTTTTTTTACTTATATTCAAGTTTTATGTTTTCTTAGAGTTCTTAGAGTATTTTTCAAACACAACCATCGAGACCAGCATATTACCTGTCAAATAATTTACAGTAAAAAAGGGAGAGTTTCATTTGAAAAGCCAATACGTTTGTGTCACCCTACATTTGTTKCTGTTTAAGATAATAATAATAATAACCTCCTCGATACTCAATTCATATACTATTGCAGRTACCTAAAAATTGTTGAACACACTACCACCATCGAGTTTAGCATATTATCTACGGCATAGGGCGTAAGTCACGTTAGTCACGGCAAATGTTTTCGATAGAATTCTGTTAAAGTAATAAAGTGGCTGACTTTTTGATAGGTATGATAAATATTGTATACAATCGATTAAAATTTACTATACCAGAAATTTAGCCTTGGGACATGTCTGAAAATTAGTGTATGCTCAACAAAGGAATATATTTAAATATTAAAAATAAATAATAATCAAAATTAATATATGTCAGCAAAATACATGGGCAAAACAAAATATCACGAAATAATAACAACTATTCTTCACTGGTCTAATAAGAATCATGCTGATAGGAAAAAGGAAACTATCATAAACAGGCTAAGAATTATAGGTAAAACCAGAAAAACTCATGGTTTCCTACCTAATGTCCCGAGAGGAACCCCTCTCGGCTCTCATACACTACTTTCGGGGTTCAGTTCACAATAAAACACATTCTGACCGAATGTGATGCATACCTCGAAGCAAGGAATCGCAATCAATTACCCGATGATGTAGGTATATTGAACAACATAATTGAACCAGTTCTTCCTTCGCCAGGCATATTTCCTTTCCTCTAGGAGACAAGATTGCATAAACCTATTTAAGTATCAGAATAGTAATAGGTTTCTTAAGGTTTAAGCTCATATAAATAATATGATATACTATATTGTAATACCTTTATACCTATACATAGGTATTCTCCCAATGGCCACGATGCCGAAAGTTATTATATTTAAATAAAAAAAATACGTCATTAGTTGTAATACCTAGGTAATAATGTTTTTAACATTTATGTGTATATTATACTAGCTAACTCGGCTTACGTTGTTTTGCCATATACATTATTTTTAATGAATATATTGGTAGTAAAATAAAAAATAACWAAATTAGGTATTATAATTACCTATGTGTTGATGTGTTTTATTGGTAGGTATGAGACTGAAAGAGGAATGGAGCACTGGGAACAATAGCAAAACACTAAATAGATACCTATKCATTTTTTTGAGTTCATTGTAATTTTATTATCTTAATCTTAAATTTCGAACTAAATCTCTTAACACACATTATGAAAATTAAAAATAAGAACTATCAGTCTCTTAGTGCAATGGAATGTACAATACTTTTAGTGAGCCCATCTTTAGCCAACACAAACCAATGTTGATAATGGTTCGGGTGATTGATGTAATTCTGGMAATTTAACTTTTCCATCACATGCCTGGATTTTCTAAAAAAATTCTAATAAAGCTTTGCTTATCACCTTACAAATATAAATCAATAACAGAAAAACATGTCTATGATTTATCAACTTTCCATGCGGAGGAAAAATTTMTGGTAGCAAGCAGCAATTTTATTTCATACATTTTTAATATTCTAAATAGACAATCATATTTTTAGGTATGCAAATAAATTATTATCAATAATAAAATAATATTTAGTACTTATTTGTTAGTTTTGTTTGTATTTAATCTTCTACACAAAAAAAAAAAAATCATTGCTTTCCTTAAAAATTATTCACTTTTAGTTAAATTGTTCAGTCAGTCAGTTGATATCTCCACATTGATAATTAAGTCTATATCCTAAAAATGCTTAAAACAAAAAAGCCCATTGGAAATTTAAGACTTCATTTTATTTTTTACTTCAGTCAAACTTGTATTTAAAGTATAATATTAAGAATTAAAATAGTATAATGTTTTTTATAGGTACAATGGTACATTTAAAAAAAACCACATCAATAGATGTATCATTCAGTAAAACTAAAAATGACACCAAAAGATAGTAGCACGATAATAACACATTGAGAGAAAGCCGAAAGGCATAATAATTAATAATATTACCAAAGAATAACGTCTTATTACTATACCTTAACAAATAACAATAGAAAATAATAAGTGTTATGAATTCTAATATGGAGTAAAAATAATGTGGAATATATTCATATTCTATTGATAATAATACATTATCAGTATTATATATAAAAAAAAAATAAAATACTGTATAATATAAAAACAATATAATATATGCTATTTTATAGTTGAACATCAAAAGAAACTCAATATTATTTAATACAAATACATCAAGTCAGCAAAAAAAAAAAATAAATAAATAAATAAATAGTACACACACATCATAATGAAATTTGTAAAAGCTTTTTTGGCTTTTTTTGTTAGATAACTATTAAAATAAACAAAAGTTTTAATTATTGGCATGTCCATACAATTGAGAGTTACTTCAAGCTTATTTTCACAATACTACCAAGATAAAAACAGTTTATTTTGAATTGTTTTAGCAATAATTTAAACGGTTTACTAAAATGTTGGCTTCTATTGCTATCCGAATATTTCAACAGTTTGATGTTGCTTGTACCAAAATAAATTTTCACATTGGCAATAAACAAAGTTGATGTTATAAAGAATCAGTAAACAGTAAATAAAYCGTTTGCTTTGAGTACCTTCACAAAAACACATTTAATATTGAAAGTGGTAAAAACTATTATCAATCAGAAAAACAGTTAGATATTGTTTAGGTTAGGTTGTACTATAAAACATATTAAGTACATATAATTTTATAAAATAAACAATTAATTACACATAGTTTTATGTAATCATAGGTAACATTGAAGTCGTTGAAGATAACAAATTAAATTGTTTTGAAGAAATCACAGGTAGCTGATCAGTACAGAATTTAAATTTAAATTTATTCTTAAAAACAATACATATAAAATAAATAATAATATTTAAAATATTAAACTAAAGTATAACAAAAAATTTATAAACAGTCTCGAATGTTTTTTTTTCGAGCTTATTATTTTATACTTATAGTATACGCTCAGATTCATTTGAGTAGCATTTTACGCGTGAAAATATAAAAGGTGGAAAACGATTATTTGTTAAATCGTATTTGGTAACCTTTACTTTGTTAACTCGGCTTTGATAAACTATTTCATAATCTATACATTGCAATTTCCAGTTGTGTTTGGATTTGTATTTTGAAATTTCTAAAACCTAAATTAAGAAAGAAATGAGTAGAATAAGAAGAAAGTAAAGATTTTATCGTTTTCAAAAAATTAGTATTATACCATGTTATAAGTAGTCTTCCTTTCAGTGTTGTCTTCCCAGCCATATTTTCTGTTAAATTCTCGATCGCGTTCCTTATCTTCACTGTCAAGAGTCAAAAATAATTGTTTACCAGACAATCTATAATGTCCAGGAGACACATTGAAAGGTGCTTTCTCTCTTGTCTTTAATTTTCGCACTATTTTATATGGAGGATTGTAAGATAGTACCATCAAAACACGACCATCGGAAAAAAACCTAATATAAAAATCAAAATATCATTTTAGTAAAATTATGCGTTGAATAATTCGTTGATGATATTTTATTTAATRGAAATAAAAAATAAATTTATTTGTATATTGGATAAATCAAAATTGATATACAGTAGACCATCCCTGTATTCTTTAAAATAGTTGTACTAACATTTATAAATAATTTAATTAAAATAATTATTTTTAATTCATAAACTATTGTCAGTTGTCATAGGTGCATATAAAAATCACAAATTGTAAYAAGTTTTGAAAAATTATGAATAATCAAAAATTGCAACATCATATTAAATTAGAATTATTACTGTTATGTAATAAAAACATTAAACAAATATTTAAAATTTTGAATTCAGTTARTCCCTAAATATTTCCTATACATGTATTAACATATTGCTCTTGACTGATATAGAGAGTGTAATTGTTAATTTAGTAATTCTACTTAGGTATAAGTTTAAATATTTGAAATGTTTATTATGGTATTTAATTTTATGGGAATAAAGAAACTTTAAAGCATAATCACCTTAAGTATCTGTAATAAACAACTTCAAAAGAAGGTCCATTAGTGTTGTCTCTAAAAGATTCTTCACCTCTTCTAACATAAGTTATTTTACAAATGTAACAACCAATTGTCAGTACATTGGGTCGTTCAATGAACATGTTACGCCAATTTCCATCATACGGGACTAAGTCGTTGATATTTGAAGGCCA